TATTTACCTATAAAGAATACACTTGATTATCATGACAGTTTTATGATCAGTGCTAAATGAAGTAGACGTTACATCAAGTGTTCTTATGATAGGTAATTTTAATATCAGACTATTTTAATTTAACTAAAGAATCAGTTATAACTATGGAAACAAAATAGTTGTTTCATTCTACTTTGAAGATATTCACTTACTTTTTCGTGGTTATAAATTACTGACTTACAAATTTGTAACTTATTGCGAGACCTGATTATATTCTGCATTCAATCTACTCATAGAATTATAGAGCCATCACACTAGAGAATCTCTAACTTGAAAGAAGAATGTTATAGCTCATATTGCGAATTAAACTTGGTTAGACAATCGTTGAAAACCAGGAAGTATTGGACAGTTGTTCTGTCTTAGTTTAAGACTTCACAGAGATACGCATCAATGACCTTATCAGATAACGGACCTGGAACCTTTTGATATCGTTTATAGCATTTCAATTTTAAAATACTGAGTCGAAATTCACTGGTTTATATGCCTAACTGGACTCAATTTGTGATAATGTTCAACCATCCACCTAACTCCCCTCATGAGTAACTGCCATGCTCACGACATGGTTGAACCCAACTATCGTTTACTTATTAATTTACATACGCCAGTTACTCCTAATGGAGCATAGGCCGCCGATCACCATTCTCCAACCCACTCTGTCCTCGGCCTTCTTTTCTAATTTCATCCAATTCTTGTTCATTTTTCTCATGTCTATTTCCATTTCTCGGTGTAATGTGTTCTTTGGTCTTCCTCTTTTCCTTCGGATTTGAGGATCCCATGTAAGGGCTTGTCTTGTGACGCAGTTGGGTGCTTCCCTCAATGTGTCCTATCCACTTCCATCGCTTCTTCCTGATTTCTTCCTCCACTGGAATCTGGTTTGTTCTCTCCCACAGTAGGTTGTTGCTAATAGTGTCCGGCCAATGGATCCGAAGTATTTTGCGTAGACAACTGTTAATAAACACCTGTATCTATGGATGATGGCTTTCGTAGTTGTCCAAGTTTCCGCCCCATACAGTAGAACAATCTTGACATTTGTATTGAAAATCCTGACCTTGGTGTTAGTTACCAATTGTTTTGAGTTCCAGATGTTCTTCAATTGTAAATATGCTGCTCTTGCTTTACCGATCCGCGCCTTCATATCTGCATCAGGTCCATCATGTTCATCAATGATGCTGCCCAGATATGTAAAGGTTTTCACATCTTCCAAATCTTCTCCGTCAATTGTGATTGGATTGGTGCATGCTGTGTTGTATCGGAGAACCTTGCTCTTCCCTTTGTGTATATTGAGACCTATTGCTGCTGAGGCTGCTTCTACACTGTTCGTCTTCTCCTGCATTTGTTGTTGCTTTTGGGATAGAATGGCCAGATCATCTGCGAAGTCTAGATCGTCCAACTGCATCCTATCTTTCCATTGTATCTCGTGTTTCCCTTCAGATGTTGACGTCTTCATGATCCAGTTGATCACCAGCAGAAAGAGAACAGGTGAAAGTAAGCAACCTTGCCTAACACCGGTCTTTACTTCAAACGAGTTTGTTAACTGTTCTCCATGCACAATTTTGCATAACTTCATAACACCCCCCAAAGTTTTCAAAATTTCTTATTAAACCTACCTTAATGATATATAAGCCATCAAACTTAATCGAAACATTAACAAACAAACAAACAAACAAACAAAAAAGAGGTAATTTATTGTCATTTGTCATATGGAATTACAAAAATCGAACCGATTTCTCTCTGTCTAATCGATTGTTCAACAATTTTTTTTTCTAATAATCAATAGGGAGACAAATTTAAAACGAAAATATTTGATAAATTTCAACAAAAAAAAAAGAAAAAAAGGGGAAATGTATATTCTCCTTTAGGATATATCATTGTTGTCATAGTGTTTGTCGTTATTATAATCGGTTATTATCATACTACTTAATAAAACAGCCATTTATTATAATCTATAGAAACCGAATTCATTTCAGTTAATTTGTTATGAATATCAGAAGGGGTTTTTGGTGGATGAGTTGATTGAAGCTAGGCCATTATGGAAAACCTAGAAGCACTGGACGGCCGTTACGTCCTAGTATGGGACTTCTCAGCAGTGCGCATCCACGATCCCGAATCCCGTGAGATTCGAACCCAGGACCTATCAGTCTCGCGCGCAAGCGCTTGACTATCAGACCATTTAGCCGGCATCCAACGGTGTTAATGTCTGACTTCAACCAATCCATGAAGTCGCGCCACCGCGAACCATTGTCTTCAGTCAGTTGATATCTCACAAAAGACATGGTTGAACTCCACTAGTAACGGACTCTTACTAGAACTCCAGGAAATGCCTCTTGAAATCGGTCACCAGTGAGCATTTGATTATTATCAGAAGGAGTTTGTGGAGATTTCAATATTTGAAATCATAAGTCAATTGAAACTAGACCACTATGGAAGACCTAGAAGCACTGGACGGCCGTTTCGTCCTAGTATGGGACTCCTCAGTAGTGTGCATCTTGGGTACCGCCTCGTGAGATTAGAACCCATGAACTATCAGTCTGGCGCGCAAGTGCTTGACCTCTATACCATTAAAAACGGTCGTTATCGATTGGTGTTAATGTCTAGCTTCAACCAATCCACGTTTTCCATAGTGGTCTAACTCCAATCGACCCAAATCTTCAGTAATTAAATTACTATAATATCTCCAAAACGCCTCTCTGATTATAGTTTATTATTGTTGGTGATAAATTTCTTTATAGCCTAAAGAAAAACAACCAACCGAACAAACAAACAAACAAACCAATTCACTAAAATATCCACCTATAGCAATAATTATTATCCCTGGTAGACAATAGAAAGATTGATTGATTGATTTATGAAAAAAAGAAACAGTGTAGAGAGAGGAAAAAACAGTCAACACGTGAAACCTTTGTCATTTATTTTATAAACTGATAGTTATGAATAAATCAACAACAAAAGAGAGAAATTGAGTATAATGAAATGAATAATTATGGTCAGTTGTTAACCATGTATAAATGTGTGTATACTTGGCTTTGAATCACATTCTAAGTATTCGGACGAGTAATACTACAAGGTTAATCAAATTGAAGTAGATGAAGCAGGTTTCGAACCCATAATCTAGTGGATGAAAGTCGAATATACTAACCATAGATACGGACAGGTTGATATATGTTGTTTGATAGTTATTACCTTCAAGTGATATGTCTTTGAAATTTTGATAAAATGTATGCTAACCATAGAATATAGATTAATGACATTTTTATAAAGTTATTCAATTTACCACAGTTATATAGTGGTATTGAGTTCTTTACTTTATAACAGGTTAATATATGAACACCGCTGGATACCGGCTCAGTGGTCTAATGGCTAATCGCTCACGCGCAAGACTGATAGGTCCTGGGTTCGAATCTCGTGAGGCAGGATCATGGGTGCGCACTGCTGAGGAGTCCCGCAATGGGACGAAATGGCCATCCAGTGCTTCCAGATTTCCTATGGTGATCTAGCTTCAATTAATTCATAATCTCAACTATTGAAATTAATATACTATCAACAAAAACAATGTCTGATATTAATATATACCAATCTTGGACGGTGTTTAGACCACAATGTTAATTAAATTCTTTCAGTCTAGTCAAAATGTAATCATCCTACTGAGTAACTTGGGACAGCAATATATTTTATGAAGTATTTCATGAATAAAGAGATTGAGTAATAAATTTGAAATGTCTTAAGCTTTGATAAATGTCAGCAAAGAAACTAAAGGTTCTCATAAGATTCAAACCCAATTCCCCCAATATGTTGAAGTTAAACATATGAACAATTAAGCGTTGGCTCGATGGTCTAAAGAATAAATTCTCACAATGAGACATTATGGTGCTAGGTCCCATCTGTGATGAGTTCGTTGATAAGCACTGTTATAGAGGTTCATAATAGAATGAAAAAGAAGTCCAATGCTTTCCGATTTTTAATGGTCATATAACTAAAGGTAATCCATTGAACAACTATGTAAGTTTTCTATTATTCATGTTTTAAATTTGATTTGCATTCAAAAATTGACTTTGGCCAGAGAATCAAAGAGTAAGGAATAATTATTATGTCACATTATGGAACTCTTCAGTAGTACTTCTTCCATAATCAGAGATGAATAGTGTCTAGTAGTGAAATCCAGGATTTATGTTCCGTCTTGTTTAGGACATGTCAGCTCGATGTACCTACGTCCCAGATTTAAAGTGCTCACTGGGAGTTGAACTCAGTACCGTTCTCTCCAAATGCTATCAAGTTATCCATGTAACTACTGAGTCCAGAGAGCCACTAGCTTGTGTAATAGCGTGAGGTTTATGTCATATTTGTATTGTATTTTTTCAACCTCCGCATTGATGTTTATCCTTTGAATTACTTTTTCTGGTTAGCGTTTTTTTTTTAGCAAGTTAGTCTTCTACGGGATGGGGTCGTTAAACCCATGCCCAACTCCTCTCCTTTATCCAAGATTGGGACAGGCAGTAGCCTCAGAGCGGCTCCAGATGTCTACCCAGAATACTTCGGATTTGTTGGCCAGATACTATTAGCAGCAATCTACTATGAGAGAGGACAAACCAGATTCCAACAGAGGAAGAAATCAGGAAGAAGCACTGGAAGCGGATAGAACATACATTGATGAAAGCACCCAATTGTGTCACAACACAAGCCCTCACTTAAAATCCTCAAATCCGAAGGAGAAGAGGAAGACCAAAGAACACATTACATCGAGAAATGGAGATAAACATGAGAAGAATGAACGACAATTGAATAGAACTAGAAAAAAAGACTCAGGACAGAGTGGGTTGGAGAATGTTAATCGGCGACCTCTACTCGATTAGGGGGTAACATGTGTAAGTACATTAATTGTAAAAATTTATAGTTACATTCTATAAATAATCAAATTTGATTAAAGAAAACAATAGATAATTATCAATAAAATAATATTCATTTACTTGAGCTAAACGTTCACCTTCTTTTTTAGTGACCATACGATTTCTTTCTTCATCTAATTTATTCCCAACTAATATAATAAGTATATTATTATTATTTGATTGTATATTTGCATTGATTTCACTCATCCATGACTACAAAACAAAAGAGAAATACATACAGAGAGAGAGAGAGTGAGAGTGAGAGGGAGGTATGGTAGGTAGGGAGGGAGGCAGATAAGGAGATGATAACGGAAAAAAAGAAATGACATCAAAGTAAAAAGAAAAAAAAAGAAAGATTGAAATTGAATAGAAAATATTTGTAGGCTATAAATTGTTGAATCGTTATTTCTTTCTTAATTTCAACGAAATATTACAAAATTCCTTTAGCATTATAAGATGTCTCCACCTGGAACCCCATCGAGGCTACTGCCTGTCCCAAGCCCAGATAAAGAAGAAGGGTTAAGCATGGGGTTAGCGACCCCCTCCAGTAGAAAACTAACTCGCTAAAAAAACGCTAACCAGAAAAAATAATTCAAACCATTTAAACTCTGCCCTGGTAGTTAGAAGATCTTCATTTAGAAGAGCTATGATACCCTATGATGAAAGCAGAGTTTCTTCGGAAGTTACGAGGCTGATGCCCCTCCTGACAACCAGAGCAACCATTAATTTAGGTATGTGAAATGCTTGTACAATGTGGGACACCTGGAAAGTTTTTCAAATTGCTGCATGACAGAACAGGAAAAATTCATTGTGTTTTATTTGCTAAGATTATACAGTAATCAGTATATTTAGTGTAAATATAAACGGCTTAGCAACTCTATTCATGAAAGTCTTATCAGAAAACAACTTTAAACAACATGTCTATTTATTTTAATTCAATAATAATAGTCATTGAATGTGAGAGAGTACTGAACAACTGGCTCATTTTAATGTGAAACTTCATCGAGGATAAGCATCAGTAATGTCAACATGGATCAAATCTGAAATTTTCCAAGTCTTTGGTAAGTATTCAAGCTAGTGAATACAGAGTTGGTAAAATATTTGTCCACCACTCCTTGATTCAAAATTAGGACCTAACGGTCTCGCGGATGGTGGCGCAATTTCGTGGACTGATTGAAGTTAGACAGTAACGCCGTTGGATTCTGGCTCAGTAGTCTACAAGTTAAGCGTTCCAGTGCGAGACTGAAGGTGCTGGGTTTGAGTCCCTTTAGTGCGGGATCGTGGATGCACACTGATGAGGAGTACCACAATATGACGAAACGGCCGTCCAGCCTTTGGTATTGTCCACAATAACATCCTGGTTATAGTTGGGATAGATAACAGCCAGCGATGAAATGACCATCAATAAAGTCATTTGTAATAGCCAGTAACGCAAACTCTATAGTGTTATCTATAATAATGAGTGAAATATTAGTTTATATAATTAGAATATCAACATTATTATACAGGTAGATCCAAATGATAAGTCTCGAATATTACCATTAAGAAAACGTCTAATAAAATCTCCACAAATCCCCCTCTTGATTATAATATAATAGTTGAATTTCATGAATCGATTAAAGCTAGACTATCATGAGAAATCTAAAAGTACTAAATGGATGTTTCATCCTAGTATAGGACTTTTCAGAAGTGAACATCTATGATCTCACCTCGCATGATTTGGACTCAGAACCTTCGGTCTCGCTGGCGAACACATAACCTCTAAATCTCTGAATTGCCATCCAATGGCGTTCATGTCTAAATTTTGTTAAAATACTCATTTGATGAAAGTACTTCCTTTCTTATATAACCACTTATAGTAACTATAGGAATTTGAATACAAAATTTTTATTGACATATTCTTTTCATCATTGAAATTACTATAATACTGATAAATGTAATAAAAGTATTAGGGAGAGAGAGAAAGAGGGGGGGGTTATTGGTACGTATGTATGTATGACAGTGAGAAATCATTTCAATGCGTTTTAATACAAAAAATTAAGTTCTATGGAAAAACAAAATTAATGAAAATGACAATATAAAGGCGCCAAAAAATTGGTCTTACACATCCATAAAGTACTTGTATTTTCCAAGTGAATGGATGGACAAGTAAGTGTACACATATTACTATTATTATTATTATTAATAGTAGTAGTAGTGTGGTGTGCTACTTATATTGACATAAGTAGTAGATGATGTTAGTCGTGAACAGAATGTTTGGCAGCAGAGAGATAAGAGGATCGAACAGTAAAGAATGGAAACAGAATGAGATTTGTATGAGAATGCAAGAACAATGAAGTTTGAGTCATTTTGAGACAATTGATGGACATTTTGCAAATTATGTATTTACTTTATGATTGTTAGATTTTATTAAAAGGTTCTGTAATTTTGTGTCATATGCATTCGATTGTTCCCCACTGGTATTCGTGTTCACTACAGTAGGAGATTAGTTACTGTCTTAATAACTTAATAATAATGTCTCTGACTGTGATACAGTATGATTCAATTTTGAAATGCAAAGGGAACATCGGTTGTTTTGGTGTTGCTTAATAAAATAATTGATGATTTGTAAGTAGTATTATTTTTATTTGTTTACTTGAATACATAACTATTGGTATAAACAGGTTGCCGAATACATATACAAGTTACTTGATTTGTGTGTGGACTGTGATACTGCCCAGGTGCCCAGACTGAAGTAGGTGCTTTTCTTAGGGGACCAAACCCGGAGCATTCGACCTAAAGGTCTGATCCAAAAGCCAGTTTAGCAACGTCAAGAGATACAGTTCCATGGTAGCCGGTGACCAAAGAATGATTCATAAACTATTTATTGTTCCAGGTTCCTGGAGCCCATGTACACCACTAGTTTGGAACCAGGGTTTAACAACTCCCCTAGGTGGATCCTCCGTATCAAACAACCCAGTTAAAGCGACGAACATTCGCTTTCCATCTTCTCAATTTCGTAAACAACAGTAATTTCACGAGAAGACAGTTAGTAGGACTTCCGTATAAGTGTGTGTATTGACGTGACCATGTGAGAGCATTTCGAAAGAGAGAGGTGACTCTCTTCACCCTCGGCCGTAATAGGGCATTCAGTGGTAGGATCATCTTTAATAGAAAAGTCACTATTGAATATTGTAGTATTTAATTCAGTAATTTGCAGAGATTAATCATAATTGAAAATACTTTTTAGCACAAACTGATTGACCTATAAAGAGGTAGTCAATATATACTGATCATGAACCGATCCATATTAGACTACCATTGAAGACTTGGAAGCACTGAATGGCCATTTCGTCCTATACATAGTATTTTGTGCACAGACTAGAAACTAATAAGCACAAAGAATTCCAACTTATAATACACAAAATATACTTGAATTATGTAATATGTATTTTAACGTGATTGAAAGTTGTCGGTTTGAGGATTATTGATTAGTGTTGCCTGATTTTTTCCATAGTTCATACCATGATATTCTTCCAAGAAACTTGAGTAAATTGATCCTCTCTATGGTCTTTATCATTGAATTGTTGAGATCTCACCTGAACTATTACAGGACTGCTGTATCTAATGAATCTATCTTTTAGATTGTGTTATTCAGAGTGACAATTTTATTATTAGACTAGTAGATTGTCAATGGCTAGGATAGGGCAGATTTGAAACTTATTCAACTTATTTCAACCTCTAAACAGGTATTACAACCAGATCTCATATCAAAATATAACACATCGAATTTGACCTGTTAATCTTAATACTCGTATTGTCCTCTTGATTGGATCAAGAGACTTGTTTTTTTTCTTTTCTCAATAAATGTTATTATGAGTACCTAACAACACTTTTAAACTCAATTGTGTACTCTGTTATAAGTCATATTTCTGTGTATGATATTACAATATATGTTTTTTTTGGTATCAGAAGGGGTTTTGTGGCGATTGTAGTAATTTCACTGGTTGAAATCATGAGTCAATTGAAGCTAGACCACCATGGAGAACCTGGAAGCACTGGACGGCCGTTTCGTCCTATTGTTGGACTTTTCAGGAGTGTGCATCCACGATCCTGTAAGCGAGACTCGAACCCACGACTTCCAGTCTCTAGACCACTGAGCCGGTCGGGATCCAACGGTTTTAATGTATAACTCCAACCAATCCACGAAATTGCACAACTATATTCCATTGTATTTAAGTAGATACCTATCTCTACCCGACACCGATTAGTTCTACTGGTCACGGCTTCTCACAAGAACTTCAAGAATTCCCTCATGACATTAATCACTAGTTAGTACATAGTTCATGATCTCAATCATAAATTTACTAAAATCTCTACAACCCAATTCTGATAAAAACTGTATTTCTGGACAATGTTTCGTGACTTAATATAAGCCATTTCTTCAGAGTAAATAACTAATCGAATTAAATCGAAATGGTTTCCTTTATACCATTTACAATTGTGTTAATTGAATTTGATCACGAAACAACAGAAGTACAATTTCTCTATTCATAAGGATATAAGAAAAGAAAAGAAAATGTAATCAGATTTAATTAATTCATTGTGAATTCGAAATAAAGAGATCCGGAAGTAACTATTTATTATTCATAGAAGGTTTATGTTGATATTCAAGAAAGAATTTGGTCAGTCTTTATGTGCATATGTGATAACTGGATAAATACTAATTTACTACCTACATATATAAATATAAACAGTGTTTTTTTATTAGATGGTGGTTGGAGGTAGTCAACAAGAAACCCTAGACCCAAGTTTCGTACTGCTTGGCACACGTCTGCATGATGTACCTGTAATCTTAAGGGAACTGACTACATCGTAACTTGCTCAATTGCATTCGATCTACACTAAGAAGGACTTGACATACATGACGTTGATCACCACCCAGTGATCAATCAATTGTGAGTGTTTTGTATACCATATTGGCTTGAAACTAAATTTGGAATGTGGATTTTGTCCCGCATATATGACTTTGTGATTATGAATCAAACCTTAGAATTATAGGCTTCTTATCAAGAACATTATCTTCAGATCTATAGTTCGGCATCCAATAGACCGCATTTCTTACTTCGGTCAATTCGTGATACACAAATAAAAAATATTCCTCTACTGAATCATGATTCACATAGCGCTATACATTATCTCTACCTTTATCGCAACTTCAAATAATTATCAGA